GATGCTGAAAATACAGCTGCGCATCACAGAAATAAATTACAGTTTAACACATATTCACATAGAGAACAGCTGTTTTAGATATACAACTAAATATATATAAAAAATTAGGTAATACTATTTCACAATATTACTGTTTTTACTGTCGCTTTTGATCAAATAAATGCAGCCTTGGTGAGCAGAAGACACTTCTTTCAAAAACACTGAGAAACCACAAGACGCCAAAGTGTTACAGATGTTGTAACACGTGAAATTAGTTACATGAATCCACTATACATTCGTTTGAAGCGAATGTTTGTTGTCTTTTAAATATTAGAAATGGGTTCATTCAGTTTTGCTAAAAATAAAAGCATCATTTGTAAAAGAGGTCTTCTACTTCAAGATTCAGTTTCCAGTTCAGTTACAGGATTTATAATTCATCCCGTCCTCAGAGCTGCAGTATCAGCGGCATTCATAGATATGAGTTTGGAGTTAAAGGCGTGAACACTTTGAACAGCAGAAGACAAATACTGGCGGATGCTGTGTGTGTTCAGGTGTGGATCGCTTCAGCGATGATATCCAGGAGATGATCGGACAGAGACCCGGCCTCTACTGGAGACTGTGCTGGAAGTTTGTCAGTCCGTGTTTCCTCCTGGTGCGTTCACAGTCTCTCGGTCCAACACAACACACATATCACCAATCTCCTTCAGATATACCATTAACCCGTGCCTGTTTCCTCTCCCCTGCACTCAGTTCATGGTTGTTGTGAGTTTCGCGACGTTCAATCCTCCCAAGTACGGCTCGTATTATTTCCCCACGTGGGCGACAATGCTGGGCTGGTGTTTGTCCATCTCCTCCATGATCATGGTGCCGCTCTACGCCATCTACAAGTTCTGCTCGCTGCCCGGAAGCTTCTGTGATGTGAGTATTTCATATTCGTCAGTATGCAAAACAGGTTTTCAAGATGAATCAAGTCAAGTCGCATTTATTTCTGCAGTGCTCTATACAATACAGATTGTTACAAAGCAGCTTCACAGTAAAAAGGAGTAAAATAACAATGTTAATGTTGCAAAATTCATCAATTACCCCATATACAACACAGTTTTTGTTTTATCAAGCTGTATTTACTCAGTGCAACTTATAACATCCAAGTGAAGGATAAAACACCAACATGTCAGAAGAAAATAAAAACCAGAATCACTTGTAGGAAAAAGGATTATTCCCCTCCTAAAAAATGACTTGTAAGCTCAATCAGGTGAAGCTGCTCACTTTCTCAATGGCACACAAAGCCATCTGACTTCCACCTGTGATCAGCTGTGCTCATTCTGATCATCTCAGCATGAAAAGAGCTTTCCTGCAGCGTTTCAGTCCTTGCTAGAGCAACTGAAGCCCGGGACACACTGCACAATTATCATCGCACAGTGTGTTTGCTGCTACGACCCACGTTTACTGACCAGCCGATACAAATGTGACAAGAAACTAAAACATAAAACTGCTTACCTGAAGCTCTTATCCCTTCCTCTTCCTCAGCACACATAAAAACGTCTACTGCCAAAGTGTGATTAATCAAGCTCTTCTTGTTTACCTCGAGCGCATGCTGGGGATGTTTTGTTCTTCTATAGTAACGTGTGTTGTAGCCTACGAGTCACTAGGTGTCATCATCACACAGTCTGCATGCGTGTCGCACCCGAGTTTATCAGATGCATGTCACACAGTGTGATTTGCAATGATCTTATAGGATTGCTAAAATCGTGCAGTGTGTCCCAGACTTAAAGAAAACAATCAACTATGGGTGGCAAGACACTGTCAGAAGATCTCCACAAGTCAGCAGACGGAGACAAACACATTTCAAAGGCTTTGTACATGCCTAGAAGCACAGTGAAGTCTATTATTAAGAAGTGGAAGGTATTCGGTACAACACACGCCATCAGATTGAACTGAACTTCAGCAGCTCTGCAAAGAAGAGTGAGCAAATATCGCAGTTAGTAGAGACAAATCCCAACAGACTAAAGGCTGTAATTAAAGCACAAGGTGCTTCAACAAAATACTCACACAAGTGGCTGATCCTTTTACCAACTCTGTGATTCTGGTTTTTACTTAAAACATTTTTTCTGACATGCTGGTGTTTTATCCTTCACTTGGATGTTATAAGTTGCACTGAATACAGTAAATACAGCTGGATAAAACAAAAACTGTGTCCGTCTTCATTTCAGGCTGCAAAGCAATAAAATGTGATTATTTTAAAGAGGGTTGATTCTTTCTACTTTTTGGGGGATTTCTCCTCACTTTGTTACACTTCTGGTGTTCTCAGTCAGAAATGACTGACCTACAAAAAAATTGCTTGTAAATTTCTTGTCAAGCTATATTATTTAATCTTTTCTTTCAATCAGCACAGGCTTTTGTAATTATTTTCGAACTGACTGATCGTACGCCTCATTGATCTGAGCTCATGCACCTCAGTTTCTGAGTGAAACACTTTATTTGTGGACAATTTTGCCAATGTTCACTCAAAAACTGAGGTGCATATTCTCAGATCAAGGATAATATAGCATAATGAGAAATGTGTACGCAATTTTGGTCACACTTTATTTTATTCTCACTATTAACTAACTATTAACTTTTGCCTCAATAAACTCCTAATTTGCTGCTTATTGATAGTTAATAAGGTAGTAGTTAGGTTTAGATATGGGGTTTAAGGATTAAGGGATCTAAAATATGCTCATGCAGAATAAAGCATTAGTATGTGCTTTATAAGTCAGCCAATATGCTAGTAATATGCAACTAGTTAATAGTGAGAATTGGTACGTAAAATAAAGTGCCACCGCGATTTTTAGTAGCCTGGCCATTTTTGCCCACAAGGGTTAAGCTTGCATCCCTGTGCAGAACTCATAAAGCGTGCACGGTGGCTTTGGTTATAGTGACGTCCCTGCGTTCGTCCCGTTGCTTGCCTGATTGTGTGTGAATGTGCTGCTGGATTATGTCGGCAGAAACTGGCGTATGCCATCACTCCAGAGACGGAGCATCACCTGGTGGAGCGTGGAGAGGTCAGGCAGTTCACGGTAAGATCTCATCGCCAGCAGACAGCGGTTTCATCTGATTTCTTATCTGTTGTGAAGAGCGCTGTGTGAATGTGACTTGTTTCTCACAGCTTCATCACTGGCTGGTGGTTTGAGGTGATGATGATGAAGATGATGACGGCACACGAGGACTGGAGCGCTGACAGAAGCGTATTACTAGTTGTTTCTTTGGACATGTGGCTGTTTCGTGACTTGCATCACAGTGTGTCAGTATCGGTTTCACTCTCACTATACCATGACTGTTATGCTGGCTGACTGCTGCTGGTTTATTATATCTTCTGTTTGTGGTCAGAGTTCAACTGAGCCTTATTGATAAATGTGATTGAAGTGTCAAAAACTGTACAAAAGACACATCTAGCAACAGTAAAGTTTAGAGACGTGTAAATAGTGCTACTGCAAAAAAATGTAGAAACTCTAAAGAAATCTACACCGTACTGTAACTTAGTTTATCATGAAATGACATCTGTGTAAAAAACTGACCTCAAACACACTGGTCTCCTAATCTATTTAGCGTGTGTTATAAAATGACTAAAAAGGACCTGATTATAGTCAGAGATACAGAAGCAGATGTAATTTATTGCAAACGTTACCAGCTTGAGAGGAGCTGTCTTGCCTCATAGACTTCTGTTGAATGATCAATACTTTCAACATGAGTTTTGCTTGTTTCTGTTTATGGTAATCGACAGCATGGATATTATCAATACTGTTAGATCTTTTCAGCAGATAAACCATGCTGTGATGACTGCTGCTCAGCAATTCTTTCAAATATACCTGTATCTGTTTAGAACAATTACTTGATTCATCACTCAAGTTTACACTCAAAGCATTACGCTGATATAATCAACTCAAAACATTATACTACATTTAAAAAATAAATGCATCAATAAAAGTAGAGAACCATTGTCATTATTGTTTGTCTTAATATTGAATAAATATTACACTTTTTTTTTTTAAATGATGGAATTCACCATGTTTGATCACTAATCACTAATCTTTTATCACAATGTCACTTTGAAGTGAATACAGTGGTGGATTTTAAATTATATGTGTCCCTGCAGCACAAAAGCAGTGTTAAGTCGCTGGGGGATATTTGTAGCAATAGCCAACAATACATTGCATGGGTCACAATTATTCCAAAAATCATTAGGATATTAAATAAAGATCATGTTCCATGAAGATATTTTGTAAGTTTCCTACCGTAAATATATCAAAACTTAATGTTTGATTAGTAATATGCATTGCTAAGAACTTCTTTTGGACAACTTTAAAGATGATTTTCTCAATATTTAGATTTTTTTGCACCCTCAGATTCCAGATTTTCAAATATTGTCCAATCCTAACAAACCATACATCAATGGAGAGCTTATTTATTATTTATAAATCTCAAATATTTCGAAAAATTGACCCTTAAGACTGGTTTTATGTGGGTGTTTTAATAAATATACTACATGTACAAATGTAGAGCGGTTTTCGTCTTCATTGCTATATATGTTTTTTTTATATTGATCAGTCAAAATATAGCCACTCATGGTCCATGAATATACTGCAGATTATTGAAAAATATAAGCACTAGTTTCCCTTATATGGAAATGTATTATTTAATATATTGCATTATATTTTCCAGTATATTTCCATATATTTGTTTTGTAATGGCAGCAATGACAATATCGGCTCAAATAATGCACCTCCTACAGTAAACCTGTTCATTTCAGCTGTAAACAGCAGTGTAATGCATGTACAGGTATGTTTTCAGAGTTTTGCACAACAATTACAGGTAGAGGCATGTTTGTCCAGTGAGCTTGGGTTGATATGTACAGTCTTGTGTTCACTGAAAGACTTCTGGCCTCCTTCACAACCCTCTGTGGTGTAGTTTTTTTGCCAAAATGATTAGATGAATCAAAGCTCCCTGAACAACTTTTTGTCAAGAGGTTTTGGATTTATATATACATAAATATATATTTATATTGTGCAGTCTGGATCAATGCCTTTTTTTTTTAAAGTAGCCCTGTAGTCACATTTTCTGTTTCAACTGAAGCTCCAGACTCATGCTGCCATGTATCCTGCTGCTTCACGGAGCGCTTGACTCATAGGAAAACACTGTGTGCAGAGATGCACTAATGAACCTAAATCTCCAAGGCTGCTTTCCCACGGCACTAATCTTGCAAATAGTCAAGGCATTTAACAGACAGTTGTTATGCGACACACCAAACAAACATGTTTTTTGTTCCAAGGTTAGAGCATTAGTACTTGCACATGAACTCCTCGGTGTCCAATTATACTGAACGCAGACTCAGGTTTACTCTACTGGTGATGAATGCATCCTCGTCCAACAGGGCTCATACATTTATGTCTCACAGTAAAGTCTGTTTTAGCACCAAAAATGGCCATTTCTAATGGTAGATACTGCACAATCACATTTACTGAAAAAAATACTCAGCATGGCAAGCCTAGTAATATCTCGACTTGTGCTTACGAGAAAATCACCCAAGTATTTCTAGTATCTATGATCTATTCCTATAACAACTTAATAGACATCAGTATTAGTGTTGTAGTGCAAGACCAGACAAGACTCAATGCGGTCTCAAGTCCTAAAGAGATGAAATCGCACTTCTTCCGTGAGCTGCTTTATATGGAAGCCCATTTCCGCCACAGAATAATCTAACAATTCTGACTGTTTTCCCTCACAATACTGAGTTTTTTCTTCTCATAATTCAGAATTGTGAGAAATAAGCTCTAAAGTTTGAGAATAAAGTTGTGAGATATAAACTTAGAAATGTGAGGAAAAGTTTCCTTTTTTTTCCTTCTCTGAATTTCAAGAAACTAACTCAAACTTGTGAGAAAAAAAGAGATGCAGACTCCTTATTTTTCTTTTTTTTGTCGGAAACGGGCTTCAATAGGAATAAGCAGTGTTGGGGATAACGTATTACAAGTAACGCGAGTTACGTAAAATTTCAGCTGTAAACAGCAGTGTAATGCATGTACAGGTATGTTTTCAGAGTTTTGCACAACAATTACAGGTAGAGGCATGTTTGTCCAGTGAGCTTGGGTTGATATGTACAGTCGTATGTTCACTGAAAGACTTCTGGCCTCCTTCACAACCCTCTGTGGTGTAGTTTTTTTGCCAAAATGATTAGATGAATCAAAGCTCCCTGAACAACTTTTTGTCAAGAGGTTTTGGATTTATATATATATAAATATATATTTATATTGTGCAGTCTGGATCAATGCCTTTTTTTTTTAAAGTAGCCCTGTAGTCACCTTTTCTGTTTCAACTGAAGCTCCAGACTCATGCTGCCATGTATCCTGCTGCTTCACGGAGCGCTTGACTCATAGGAAAACACTGTGTGCAGAGATGCACTAATTAACCTAAATCTCCAAGGCTGCTTTCCCACGGCACTAATCTTGCAAATAGTCAAGGCATTTAACAGACAGTTGTTATGCGACACACCAAACAAACATGTTTTTTGTTCCAAGGTTAGAGCATTAGTACTTGCACATGAACTCCTCGGTGTCCAATTATACTGAACGCAGACTCAGGTTTACTCTACTGGTGATGAATGCATCCTCGTCCAACAGGGCTCATACATTTATGTCTCACAGTAAAGTCTGTTTTAGCACCAAAAATGGCCATTTCTAATGGTAGATACTGCACAATCACATTTACTGAAAAAAATACTCAGCATGGCAAGCCTAGTAATATCTCGACTTGTGCTTACGAGAAAATCACCCAAGTATTTCTAGTATCTATGATCTATTCCTATAACAACTTAATAGACATCAGTATTAGTGTTGTAGTGCAAGACCAGACAAGACTCAATGCGGTCTCAAGTCCTAAAGAGATGAAATCGCACTTCTTCCGTGAGCTGCTTTATATGGAAGCCCATTTCCGCCACAGAATAATCTAACAATTCTGACTGTTTTCCCTCACAATACTGAGTTTTTTCTTCTCATAATTCAGAATTGTTTGAGAATAAAGTTGTGAGATATAAACTTAGAAATGTGAGGAAAAGTTTCCTTTTTTTCCTTCTCTGAATTTCAAGAAACTAACTCAAAATTGTGAGAAAAAAAGAGATGCAGACTCCTTATTTTTCTTTTTTTTTGTCGGAAACGGGCTTCAATAGGAATAAGCAGTGTTGG